ATGAATGCATGTTAAAGCTATGGCAACAATAATATATTATTGAATCAACTATAAGGCGCATTGTTAAAATAACTATAAAAAAATAGTTGGCACCTTAAATCACTATAAATTATAGTAAAATTGTAATAACTGCAACTATTTTTTTCTCTCAGTGTACGTAATATAGTATATTCTATTATATAATACAATTTATACACGATGCTTGCGTACGGCTTACTTCTATATATCTTCTAATATATATATTTGTTTATGCGCGTTAGAGTCCAAAGTCTAAAATGATAATAAATATTGCAAATGTTGCAAGATAGTAAATGACTTTTCTGTTCAGATCGACCTAATTTAACTTCATATTACGGCTATGTTAAAATTTTTGAAACATATCGGTATATATCTAGGTTATTAAATATGTATATGAAATAGCTGTTACTAAAAAACATGCTACGTGGCATTTATGAGTCTGTTTGTAAAATTAAACGTAGCGAGTAGGTTTTTTTATGTATCTCTATTTTCTAATTATTTTACTAATTAAACTTTTGTTTTTTTTAGTTTTAAAATTAAAAAATAATTTAAGACCTTTCTACATTCAATAAAAAGTCTCTCTCTCATAAATCTGATCCTCTATATTATAAAAGATATCTTACCGTTATCTATCAAGGCATGAAGAACTACACATACTATGTGTATGTAGACATTCAAAATGTTTTTATCACAAAGAATCAAGAGAATGTGAATACGAGTAAAAAGATGCACTTTCGCTAATTTCTATAATTGTATTTTAATTATTTTTAGATAAGTACACTTTATATAAATCATTACATCTGGTTACTTCTTAAACTATAATTCATAAAGTAATTGCTTTGTTGCATACAGTATAACGTAACTTTGCTCTTTGACATTCTCGCTTTGAAACTATATAGAAAAAAAAGTATTTTATATGTAGACAACTTTTTTATCTGATTATGCATACTTATATACGCAATTATGCAATCGATATAATTATATATGAGACTATATATTCAGTCTCGTACATAAGTGTATGTAAATAGATATCAAAATTGTCTGTATATGTAGGACTTTTTTGCCAGGAAAAATATGTAAAAAAATAATATAACGTTTTGCAAATACATTAATGTACTTTGTTAGTAAAACACAAGCGTTTCCCATAACCTCTTGCTATATCATTTCTATTTTTATTTTAACTTCATTGTTTTTTTTTGATCGGCACAAATTTTACACGAACTGGATGAGCAGGACGAGTTACCATATCCATCTTTAACTGAACATTTCTCAAGTAATCAACAGGCTCCAGGTAAAAGTGATGTACCAGAGGTGCGATCATAGCTTTCAATTCGTACATAGCGAACCGTTGACCTGCCGCACACACAGTAAATCAAAAAAATTGTTTTCTCGTCTGAAAAACGGACGAAGAGCGCAATTTACCTATGCAATTTCGCGGTCCCGCACTAAACGGTATGTAGCAATAAGGATGACGATTTTGCATTTGGTCGGGCAAAAATCGATCCGGATCGAATACATCCGGATTCGGCCAGAAATTAGGATCTCTGTGGACGGCGTAGATATCAATATTCACGTATACATTAGCCGGCACTATGTACGACTCTATTAGAGAACAAAAAATAATATTTATATGTATACACTTGCACGGCAATGACGTGTAACAATGTAACATAATCTATGATAATGACATATTAAAAATCTATATCGCAACGCACTAATATACGTACGACATTTTATATCTTCTGCAAGAGTGCGTGATACGTTAGGCACACTGGGATATAATCGCAGCGCTTCTTTCAAGCATCTCTCTAAGTACGGTAGCTTTTGTAAAGACGCCATAGTCAAATTTCCTTTAGTTTCTTCCATCACATCATTAACTTCAGTTCTGACACGATCCTGTATAAATTGTTGAAAGTTATGGTATTCTGCTACTTTTCATTATAAACGTTTTTGTTGGTTTTGAGATGATTTTACGAGATTATCATCTGTAATTACTTTTAAAAGATATAATCTCTGACTAATTTCGTTTAGAATTAATTAAATATAGAGAAAAATAGTTTCATAGAAAACCGACCGAAACAAAGAATGACGTAATCGGTTCTTTGTTATATTTATTGATCACAAAATACCTGAATATCCTTGTGCTCAGCTAATAATAGTAAAGCAAAACACACACCCATTGCCGTAGTATCGTGACCCTGTAATTATACGTATCTATTTCTCAGTAATTATATGTATCTGAATGTACTAAGAAAAAACAAATTGGGCGCATACTACACATTATACGTGCCTCGAACATGAAGGTGTCAACTTCCTCTCTGATGTCCAAATCGGTTATGTCATTTTCTCGAGATGCCGCTATTAGAAGATCCAACATAGCGAGTCGCTTTTTACGAACTAAAGTAAACAAATATATACAGTTATGTGACACTTCTTATATATATAACAAAGAAATATTAGATTTTCACTTCTTATATTTTTATCAAATTTTAGCATCAACATTAACTGACTGTGTTACATACTTCCGATCACTTCTGCGTCATCTGTTTCTGTCAATGTGTTACTTTCAGTGTTTTTTAAATACCGATCCTCTGTGCGTTCGTGATAAAGTTTTCTTTCCTTAATGATCTATATAAATAGAGACAATATTTTGAATAATATCCTAATTCTATTTTTTGTTACATGTACCCACATAGCATCGTTAGTAGCACAAACGTTTCTGCAACGGATTTTCCAAAACTTAGCAACGTTTTGTTAAAAGTCTCTAAAACGTCGTAGTAAGGAAACGTCGAAATGTCCACAGGAATAATTGATTTATCCTCAAAAGTTTCTGTTTTTTATAAAATTTAAAACAATTTATTATTTGTTATTTTCTAAATCTTTACATATCTGTTTTCCTTCAATAGTTAGTTTTCTTATTTTATATAAATTGTTATACCTATATATTATTATTTATTTGTTTATTCTAATATAAGTATTCATAACGTTATCTTATGTTCTTTTTAACTCATATTATTATTTCATATTTACACTTTATACTCTTATATTCGAACTTGTATAGTTACACAAGCAGTCACCTGGAGTGTTTTCTACACCTCAGCAAGTTTCAATAGCTTCGTACTATCAATGTATAAGACATAAACACTTTCTATTGTGCAGAGTATGACTCGAAAGGTTTGATTGAAAGGTGAGTGTGGATTTCCGACCTGTAAAAAAACTGCTGTGACGTGAACTTCATTTTTCCGACGCTGGGATGTAAAAAATACCCCGGATGACTACTCTCGAGATAATCATTCTCCAGGAAAGAGTGATTAATTAATTAATCACTCACACACAATTAATTAATTTATTACTCCTTCCTGAAGAATGGTTAAGCAGGCAAAATTTGCATGGTATCAAAAATGTATTTTACAATGTTTATAAAAATTTAAACATTAAAAACTTTGCAACTTATCGGGCAACGTTTCTTATATGTTTCTACGACATCGGACCGCAACGTAAAAAGCAAACATTTTGACGTTTCCGCTACTTTACTACGACGTTTTAGAGACTTTTAACGAAACGTTGCTAAGTTTCAGAAAACCCGTTGCAGAAACGTTTGTGCTACTAACGATACTATATATATGTGAGTATTTTTGTATTTGTAAAGAAAGTAATCAGAAAAAAAATATTGTACACACTTTTTCAGTAAATCCATGTAATATCTTTAACAACTTAGTTTGCTTTCTATTTGTTGGAGATAATGCGAACATCAAATCGGGAAACAGCCACGGAGAGAAGATTCTGCGCATAATAATCACGTTACTTCAGGTACAGGATTGGTATAACATCTCTCGTAGACAGGTAGGAGTAAAACTGAATCGATAAGTTCTATACCATTTTGCTAGATTTGCAATAGTTATCGAGATTTTAATAAAGATTCGCGAATAAGCGTACGTCGGGCTGTCTTACGCGCTCGATGCATGCTTATTCATTGATTTCTGTTAATTAAGATCTCGGTAACTATTGCGAATCTAGCAAAATGATATAGGACTTTTTGACTCAGAATTACTCTACCTGCTTACAAACGGTGATACGGTTTTCATAAGACATCCATAATACATATATATATATGTACATATAAATTTTGCACATTTTGAAATTGACTTTGATACTAAATTTCTAAGATTATTAATATTTCTCTCTATTTTCAATTTGAACAGACATATTTTTTGACACTCTGTATACTAAATTAGAATATAAATATATACATATACGTCCCAGAATTGGTATGACATCTCTTGTAGACAGATAGAAAGAGTAAAATTGAGTCGAAAAGTCCCATATTATTTTGCTAGATTCGCAATAGTTAATGAGATACAAAGTAATAAATGGGTGTCGTTGAGCGCGTAAAAAGCGATAATTCTGACTCTGTAGGCGTAGGTGTGTGACTGTCAGAGCAACGAGATGCAGAGAAAACAAACGAGCGCGGCGTGTAACTCGGCTGATTACGCGGTCAGCCGATATTCGGCGGTACGCAAAGGAGCGAGGAATAAAGCCCGTTCTACATTGATCGCAAGCGCAAACGCAAGGTATAGATCTCTTATTATCAATAGCAACAGCATTTTTAGGATATGTTTTACCATGAGAACAAATATCTTTTTGAGGGGCAACTGTAATTACAAATTTATTATCAACAATCTCATATATTGGAAATAATATTGTCATATGAGTTTGAGAAGGATTCTCAATTAATAATTCTACATTAAATCGATTCTACTCTCTCCATTTTATTCTCCCATTTATCATTTAGATAGAATCATTCAGGTAGAATTGACCAATCACGCTGGTCAATTGGCTGATTTGATCAATACGATTAGTCAATTCTACCAGAATTGTTTCTTCCGTTTGCGATCAATGTAGAATAGGCTTAAGAAGCCACTGGTTTCTGCGATCAGCTGACAATCACACACGCTTACAGAGTCAGGACCATCGCTTCTCACGCGCATATTGGCACACATTTATTACTTTGTATCTCATTAACTATTGCAAATTTTGCAAAATGGCAAATCACTTTTCTATTCAGTTCGACTCAATCTATCT